TTGTACCAATACAAAGATGCTTTGACTACTGTGGCTGTATAATAGGTTTTAATATCTGGGAGTGTGAGACCTCCTACTTTGTTCTTCTTCTTCAATGGTTCTTTGCTTACCTAAGGTTTCTTTCCTTTCCATATAAAATCGATTGATTTTTCCATGTCTTTAAAGAATGTTGATGGAATCTGGATTGGGACTGCATTGAATGTGTAGATTGCTTTGGGTAGTACAGACATAAAATGGTTAGTTTTATGCTATATGAATTTTACCTCAATTTTAAAAAAAAAGAATGATGCTAGTTCTATTTGGGGAAAAAAAATGTGTATATAAAAACATTCTTTAGGCAAGTGAGCCTTCATCTTTTTTACATGACAGACCCCTTTGAACATGTAATAAGAGCTATAGACCCTATCCTCAGCAAATGTACCTATCAAAAATGTACATATTGTATCACTATACACACACATATACACTTGCACAGATTTTTTAACATAATTCCAGGAGATTCATAGATTTCCCCAGTTAAGAATGTCTGAATCCAAGATGTGGGTGCTCTTCTTTTTGCATGGCTCAGCTGTTATTTGTCTCTTCCCCTTTCCTTTCTCATTCCCAAGGAGCTGCTGCTTCTCTCTGCATGTTCTCTACCTCATAGCTTCTGCTTACTCATAATGTCAACCTGCAAAGGTATCAGGGTTTCTCAGGTTCCTAGAGTACCAAAACTCTTCCCACAAAAGTGTACATATTCCACTACCCCCTAAACACATGCAGCCTTGCATACCATTTCAGGTAGTCCAGACTTCCTCAGTAGAGAACACTTGATCTGGGCCAATCAGTATCATCTGCATGTGAGTTTCTAAGTCTGGCTGAAAGGACACCAGTGTTGGTATGGAAAGGAAGGCAACGACCCTGCAGTATACCTAGCTTCTCCTAGGTGTCCTCAAAACTCTCACTGCCATTCAGTTGACCCTGACTCATAGTGACCCCCATTGGGTTTTCAAGGCCGTAAATATTCATGGAAGCACACTGCCTCATCTTTCTTCTATGGAGCAGCTAGTGGGTTCAAACCACCGACTTTTTGGTTAGCAGCCAAGTGCCTTAACCACTACACCACCAGAGCTCCTTCCTAGGTGCTCTGGAGGTTAGAAAATCAAAGTTGTGAGACTGAGCAGGCTGTACCTCTAAACCTGGTGAGGCAGAAGTATGGACGGTTCCAGGGAGGCTTCCCTCTGGGCACAGTGGATAAGGGCAGAGAGCATGCAGGCCTGCAGGGCACTCTCTTCACAGCAATCACTTTTTCAGGTTTCACGGACACCCACCGCTGCAGGGGTGTATGAAGAATCCCGTTCTGGTTTCCTGCAGTGACAACAGCACTCCCATGAGGCTAAATTCTCTGTGTGGGAATTTGGGGGAGGGAGGGAGGAAAGGAAACAAAGGCATCTACTCAGGTCACCTGTTTGGTCACTTGTCCATATTATTTTTGGAGTGAACAACAGAATCAGGTGACTGGATTCAGGGGATGAGAAGCTCTGGAATATGGGAGAGGTGGTGGGAACAACACCTTCCCCACCTCTAGACAGGGCAGGGAGTATTGGACCATTTTTGTAGCCCTCAGACCTTCAGCTGTCTCCACATCACAGCTCCTTCTTTTGCCCAGAGCAAAACTTCTCAATGAAAATAGCTATGGGCCAAATACCAGTCATCCATGATATTCCAGCAGAACTACTTGTTGTTGTTAGGCACCATTGCGTCTGCTCCAACTCATAACCCTATTACAACAGAACAAAACACTGCCCAGTCTTGGGCCAGCCTCACAATGCTTGCTATTCTTAAGCCCACTGTAGCAGCCACTGTGTCAGTCACTCTTATTGAGGGCCTTCCCCTTTTTTGCTGACCCTCCACTTTACCAAGCCATGACGTTCTTCTCCAGGGAATGGTCCCTTCTGACAAAATGACCAAAGTAGGTGAGACAACATCTGGCCATTTTCACTTCTAAGGAGTACTCCAGCTGTATTTCTCCCTAGACAGATTTTCTACTTAGCATTCAACAATTGTTTGGGAACACTAAATAAATGTTGTTTTTTTTTTTTTTTTTTTTTTTTAGTAGGAACAAGACAAGAAACAGCTACTTATGAAAATTTTTATAAATATATTTTGTATGTAGTCAATAGAATTCATTTTCTATATGGTCAAAATTATGTTATGGACTTAGTTTGGTCTCTATTCTGAGGTAGAAATTTTTGGAATCATGTCTTTTTTTTTTTTTTTTTCTTTTTCCTACCATAAACACTTTCTTCCCCAAAATGAAAATAACTCTATTTTTTTGTTTACAAGAATAATCCATGCTGAGAGTAATAAATTATTATTTTTTAAAAATATTAAGACAAAAATAAAATCCATATGTCAACACTCTGCTTCCCTACTTGACAACCCACCTTGCACCTATTATGTGAAGGTTTGGACCACAGGTAAAAATCAACATAGTGGCTAAATGGTGGAGCTGATTGTTGGAGTAGGTGCCTTGGGAGCAAAGAGAGAGAGAAAAAAAAAATCCCTCAGAGATGCACCAATGGGCAAGTAGCCCTTGGAGAAGATGCAACCCCTCCTGCTAACCACGTAAGGGCAAATACATACCACAGGGAGAAAGGGCCACTTTTGACCTCTGGTTGTGTGGGCAAAGACAAGAATGAGTGACAGAGCCTCCTGCTGTGGGGATGGGAGGGGGGAAGGGGAGAGTGAAAGGAGGAGGACGGCTGGCTCCTGACGCACTTTCTGCTGGTGAGAGGGGAACCAGGGACCCGAGCCCACTGGTGACGTTTCCCTCACGTGATCAGGAGCCGACGTGTGCAGAAGTCCCTTTCCTCCAGGTATCAGCTCCCTGTTTCCGTGGAGGAAGGCAGACTTCAGACTGAGGGGCAGAGGGGAGCAACTGCCCAATAGCCCTGCAGGTCGGTACAAACCAGGGATTCCTGGTGTGTGTGGGGGGAGGGGGAGGACGGAGACTACAGGGGATGGGGTCTGCTTTCCAAATACCACTCTCCTCCCACCCTCCATTCATTTTGGCGCATAAAATTGTGCCAGCTTTGGGGATAGGTGGTCTGGATACCATCCCTTATATCCTTGGAGAAGTGAGAGCTTCCAGCAGAAGGAAATGTGAGGAGGAAGAGGCATGACCCCGGGATGCCTACAAATCGATCGCCTCCTGTATACCTCTGGGGTGCGGGTGGCGGAGGGCAAAGACCAGCGCAGCTCCAGGACTGGATTCTCTCGACCCCTATCCCCTCCATCCATCCTTTTGGGGAGGAGATCGGGAGCAGCCACGGGTTGGGAATGGGTACCAGCTCGGATTTTCTAGGAGGCGGGAGCGGGCAGGCGGCATCTGGAGGGGAGGGAGGACTGAGGCAGGGGACCGCGGACCCCGCAGCGGGTCCAGGCCTGCATTTCTAGCATCTCTTCTCCACCCTTCGTCCATTTTGGAGCCGGAAATGGTGGGCTGCGGGGGCAGAGGGTTGGGGGAGGCTGCAGAGGAGGGGGGCAGAGGTTCGGTGTAGGGACTGGCTCCCAATTGTGGAGGAGTGGCTTCTGACCTAGGGACGTTTAACAGGGGGTAGCGTGGACCAAAATTTTTACTGAGTCTGGAAATAATATGTCTCTTGTATTGCAGGAAAAAATGTATGCTTTCTGTGTATGTAGGGAGGGAGAAAGGGAGGGTGGTAATATTTCTATGGACACTCCTGCCCTGTCCCTTGCCTCTACCATCAAACATTTTCTGAGAAGTGGTGGGCTTTGCCCTATATGGGCTCCCTGGGGTGGAGGGGCAGCCGGATCTGCCTACTGAACATCACTGCCCTTAACTCTACTCATTTTTAGTGCAGAAATGGTGAGGTAGAGATTTGGGAGAGGAATTCAGAAACATAGATTTCAGAATTAACTTTCCGTCCTATTGCCCGGCACAAAAAAAAGGGGGGTGGGCATTAGGCAGGGGCTGCAGAGGGGAAAACCAAAGAAGGCAAGGGAGAGAGCAAGTGGGTGGCAGGAGTGGGAAAGTTTGAACAAGAGTTTGAAATAACTGGTGTCCCAGGGACCAGTCATTCAGTTCTCAATCCCTCATTCACTACTTCTGACTCCTATCTTTTTGCAGGTCTTCAGGTCTGTGGTTGTGGGCACCACACCAGGCAAGAAAAGGACCTACAGTGTCAACCTAGGTCAGTGGGAGAGGGCAAGTGCCCCCAGGACCCCTGGAGGTAGGAGTGGCTTCAGCCAGAGAAGAAATTGGGGAGGCCACTGCCTGCTGCCCCTCCTCCATGCCTCACTATTGCAATGTGAGGATGCATGGTCTGTGTCAGTTCCCTAGGGGAACATGGTGGGGCTAGAGGGGAGAAGAAAGAAGGGAAGCATGGAAGGGATGGTATTGTGGATGCCCTCTGAGTACACAAAAAACAAAACAAAACAAAACTCACTGCCTTGTAGTTGGACCTGACTCCTAGCAACCCCTCCTTGGGTTTCTGAGGTAGTATCACTATGGAAGTAGATCGCCCAACCTTCTTTCCATACAAGAGGAGCCCTGAAAACAGACCAGGCCATTGTTCGGTTCTGTCTGCAGTTCTATGTCTTACAACTGCAGGAAGGGAGGAAAAAAAAAAAAAGAAATTGCCCAAGAGTCCCTCAGGCCCATGTAAATTAGGAATACGCAGTTAAAATTGCAAGGGCACAGCTAAGGCTAGATCGCAGTTTAGGGACCCAACTCTTCCTACACACTTCTCAGTGCACCCCACTTAAACATAGGTAGAAGTACTTGTGAAAGTTTCCACAAGGTTGACTCTTGTGAATGTATGTGAGGTGGGGAGGAAAGGAGGGAATACAGGATTGAGAGTGTACCCAGAAGGTAGGATAGGGTCAGGAAAGCTCTAAATCAGGAAGGGCAAGTAGTAGCCAGACCTTCACTCCAGCCCCTAAGCCTCATTCTCCTTTGTGTCTCCTCAGACAGGGAAAAAAGGCTAGATCTCAACATGGCAAAGCTCTGCAAAGAAAATGAAGGAAAGCTAGAAAATGAAGTAAACCTGGAAAATGAGGACAAGCCAGAAGAAGAAGTAGATACAGAAGAGGAAGGGAAGCCAGAAGAGGAAAAGTCGGAAGTGGAGGGGAAGCCAGAATCCCAGGGACCGCTAGATGATGAGGGCGAGCCAGAGGCTGAGGGCCAGCCAGAGGGAAAGAAAGAAAAGCAGGGCAAGGCAGCGGGTGAGGGGGAACCGCGAGGTGAGGGCAAGCTGAAGCCTGGGGCAAAGCCAGAGGGCGAGCCCCGGGCCGCCGAGAAGCGCCCAGCTGAAGATTACGTGCCCCGGAAAGCAAAGAGGAAAACGGACAGGGGGACGGATGATTCCCCCAGGGACTATCAGGAGGACTTACACGAAAGGCACTTGAGCAGTGAGGAGGTGATGAGAGAATGTGGTGACATGTCAAGGGCCCAGGAGGAGCTGAGGAAAAAACAGAAAATGGGTGGTTTCCATTGGATGCAAAGAGATGTTCAGGATCCCTTTCCCTCAAGGGGTCAGCGGGGAGTCAGAGGAGTGAGGGGCGGAGGTAGGGGCCAAAGGGGCTTAGATGATGTCCCTTACGTTTAATGCCTTTGGCTTTCGACTCTGGTTCTCCGATGAGAACAGTGCCAGCCCTGCTTTCCCTGGCAGGCATTTGCCAGGCTCTGTGCTTTAACCTATGCTGATACTTTGCTTTAGGTGTCACTCTTGTTACCAGCAGCCTTTGACCCAACTGCAGCGCTCCGTGTTTCAGTGGGGGATTTTCACCCATGTGCATGGAAGAGATGTTCATGGTACCTTGTAAACTGTTAATAAAAAACACTTTGCAGAACCGCATATACAGTATCAGTCCATTTTTGTAAAAATGTATGTTTGCCTAATACATCTAAATACAGGAACAACCATGAAAGTATGAACACCAGAAGGGAAATCATGGCTTTCTCTGCATTGTGAAACTGGAAATTTTCATGTTTCTCATCTGTACTTTTTTTCCCTAAAAAAAGTCACAGACTACTTTTGTCAGAAGAGAAATAATAAAAGAAAAACAAAATGTTTCCTAATGATACATAATAAGCCATTGAAAGAACTGGTCAGTGAATTTATGAAAGCAGTAGAGTCACTTCAGATTCATATTATAACATAAAATTACGGGTAAAACTCACCTTACTGTGGGGCTTGTAGCTGGAGGAGTCCACCTGGCAGTTACTACAGATCCATCGCTGTAAGAGATCCATACACTCTTGTCATCTGTAAAATGGGAATACTACTTGCCTGTCAGGGCTGCTGAGTGGATCGGATGAGGTACCCAATATGTGAGCTGTGTTGGGCTGGCTCCTAGCCTCTCCCTTGTACTAGAAGAACTGCATCAGACACTTAGGGGATGGTGGAGGGCAGTCTCACCTGCATCCAGGAACAAATTCAGGCAGCTGAGACGGGGGTGCCACCATGCCTTGGGCAGTGCCATGTCTGCTGGGCATTGTGCCCCTTCTCAAGGGTCCTGAACCCTCCTAAGGGCACCACTACTAGTGATGCACTGGAGTCCTCAAGGTGACAAAGCCCCA